GAAGAACCTGAAAGCCCTGGATTAGAGGCTCTTTAATGGTCCTTTCAGTTTGACAATCTGGACTCAATCTAAGTTGAGTCCTAGGTCCCTGCCTTCTGATCTTGAGTCCCGTTCACAGGCCTCAGTCTCTGTTTCTGGCTCCATAGACTCAGATCCTGATTCTGGGGCCCTGAACCCAACTCCACCATCCAAATTCCTCAGGCTTGGATTTGGGGAGCAGCATGTCATGGCGGGAAGAACAAGTGCTTTGGTATGCACAGCAGCTGGGTTTTCAGTCCTACCACAGTCTTGCCCCCAACACACCCTGCCTCAACCATGTGGCTTTCTCAAGAAACTACCTCCCTGAGCCTTGGTTTCCTCCTCTGTCATCAAGAGGGCTGCACAGGAGCCTTCTAGTTCGCACACTGGGGTCCTGTCTCTAGATTTCTGAGTCTCTGGGATGGATACCTTGCTGATCCCCCATCTCTGACTCCCACACCAGCTCTCTGGTTCGGCCCCCTTGAGCTCAGTCCAGCGTAGCCCTTGAAAGCCTAGCTTTGGAGTCAGACTTGCCTGTCTTAGCCACTTACTACTTAACTTCTTTGGACCTCAGTATCCTCATCTTGAAAGCAGAGGTAATAATACCGACCTCCTACGCTGACAGAGTAGCTGTCACACAGCAAGCCCACAAGAAATGCTAGCTGATGCTGCTATTATTAGTATTATCTCACATTCCCGCTCCCAGTTCCACAATTCTGGATTTGGAAAGGCAGCTTGGTAGAGAGGGAACGCTCTAACTTTCTCCCATCCCATTGCCCCTCAGCTGGGGGACTCTGCAGGGTCCTGGAAGCCAGAGCCTATGATATGACAGGGCCTGACCTCATAGTAGGAGACCCTCTCAGTTATCCATCACTGTGTAACAAACCGCCCCAAAACCTCGGGGCTTAAAACAGCAACAATTTATTCTTTCTCACAAGGACTCTGTGGGTTGACTGAAGAGTCCTTCCCTGGTCTTTCCTGCCCATCTAGCTGCATTCAGCTGTGGCTAAGCTGGGCTGGAAGAACCAGAATGGTATTGGTGCTGGCTGCAGTGCAGGTGGGACGCTGCGGTTCAGTCATCCTCCGGTAGGTTAGCCTGGGCTTCCTTGCCTGGCGATCTCTGCAAAGAGTTCAGGAGGACAAGAACAGGGGTCACTCTTATGGCCTGGGCTCTGAAACCCACCTAGCATCACTCCCACCACATTTTTTTGGCCACAACAAGTCACAAACCTGGCTCAGATCAAGAGGTGGAGACGTCAGCTCTGCCTCCTGATGGGAAGAGCTGCAGAATGTTGAGGCCAGGTCTGTCCACATGTATGTACGGACCAAGCCTGTTATCGTGGATTGATTCCTGCTCGTGGTGACCCCTCGTGTTACAGAGTGGAACTGCTCCGTAGGGGTTTCTTACCTGTAATCTTTGCAGAAACAGGTTGCCAGGCCTGTCTTCTACTGCACTGCTGGATGGGTTCGAACCTTGAGGTCAGCAGTCAAGAGCAAACCATTTGTGCCACTCAGGGACCTTCCATCTACTATGGAGCTCATCAATAAGTTACGTGCTGAATGATTCAGAGGGCTCTGAAAAGAGACCTCTGTGAGCTTCAGTTTCCTTGTCTCTTAAAATGAGCCTGATACCTCCCGGGTCAGGTCACTGTGAGGATTTAAGTGATACAATTAAAAGAACACACACAGGGCAGAGCCTGATCCCACCGGTGCTAAATACACAACACTGTTATGATCACTCTCCCCTGGCTTCTGCAACACTGTATCCAGGTCCCTTTGTTCATGAACCCAGTGATGCCAACAACCTTTTAGACAATAACTGTGTCAACTTGAGGTTTCCCTTTTGTTACCATCATCTTCCTCTGCCTCTTCTCACTACGCTGTGAAGGTTCCCTCTGCTTTTGGGCTTCCTTGCCACAATGGGGTCAGTCGGGTTTACCCAAACCCTTCAGAAACAAGCATCAGCCCGGAGGCCTAAGACCATAGGCTGCAAACTGGCAGATGTGTTTGTTTGGCCTGCAAAGCACTTAAAAAAAAAAAAAAAGAGGAATTGGAATTAGTAGCTAGCATTTATAATCAGGAGATTTTACAAAACAATCTAGGTTTCCAAATTCCCTTCAAATTGGACCATCTGGCACCCCAGGCCCACCCCCCTTGTGGCAGCTCTCAGCTGGAGCTCCATCGAGGGGACCCTCTCTTTAGTGCTTGTCAGATGGCAGGCCTTGACCGATGGGTGGCTCATAGAGTCAGGTGAGCGCGTTGCTACTGGCCATGTAAGAAAAATGCAGTCAAGCAGAACGGAAGACCTCAGAGTGTGTTGCCCGTAGTCACTCAGGGTAAGGCCTTTTGTGGGAGTAACTCTAGGTAAGCGAGTGCATGCATGCGTATGTGACTTGGGCTGGGGTGTAAACACTATCTCTTGCTGTGGGTCATAGTCAAAAGGTAGGCGGGTGCCTCTTCCAGTCTGACTCACTCCTCAGTTACTGTCTCCCTCAGAGGCATTTGAGCTTGAGACTAACGAACAGCGGTTAGCTGGTGAGATGAGGACAGTACCCTGTGACCTGCGAGTAGCCGGCACGTCCACAGGCCACCTCCCTGGTGCCCAGCTCTTCACGTTGGTGGCTGGGGAGTGAGTGCATGAATTGTGGTCACCACCCTGCCGGCGACTTCCTGGCCTGGCTGCCCTGTCTGGGGCCCTGTCCTCACACGGCCATTCTCTGACCCTGTCCTGTCTGCCCTCAGGAGAACCCGTACGTCATGCGCCGGCCCAACTTCCAGGCCCTGTCGGGGAACGAGCGCTTCGAGGGCTTCTGCGTGGACATGCTGCGGGAGCTGGCGGAGCTACTGCGCTTCCGCTACCGCCTGCGGCTGGTGGAGGACGGGCTGTATGGGGCGCCTGAGCCCAACGGCTCCTGGACGGGCATGGTTGGCGAGCTCATCAACCGGGTACGGCCGGGCCAGGACTGCGGGGGTGGCGCGAGGGCACGCGGGTAGCCAGTCCAGCCTGAAGATCCATCTGGCACAGGGCAGAAGGGGAATGGGTCATCCAGGGTTCCTCACAGCAGCCACACTGAGGGTGTGCTGTGTGCCTGCCCCTGGCAGGTGCCAGGAGATGGGGGGAGGAGGCAGAGGTGACACAGCACCTCCCGTGTGCAGCTTTGCCAACCCCTCCCCTCAGCCACCTGGCCCAGTGTTTGGCGCTTAGTTAGCACTCAGCGATTTACTGAGTGCATGAGAAAAACATGGCGTGGAAATTGACACGGCCTGAGGTGGTCAGAGGAGGCTTCCTGCAGAAGGAGGACTAGAGAGAGGAGCCCAGGGACTGCACTGTTTATGCCCTGTCCCTAGCACCGGCCAGGGAGGATGAAAATGCAGGAGTCACATGGTGCCTGTTGAACTCAGGTATTCACCCGTGCCTGTTGCCATCGAATCAATTCCGACTCATGGCGACCCTACAGCCAGAGTCAAAGCGCCCTGCAGTGTTTCTATGCCTTTATGGAAGGGGCCCTGGTGGTGCAGTGGTTAACTGCTCAGCTAATAACTGAAAGGTTGGTGGTTTGAACCCACCAGCCACTCCAAGGGTGAAAGATGTGGCAGTCTGCTTCTATAAAGAGTACAGTGTGGGAAACTGTGGGGGACATGTCTGCTCTATCCTGTGGGGTCATTATTAGGCAGAAGTGACTTGATGGCAGTGGGGTTTTAAGCTCTGTGGGAGCACACCATCAGATCTTTTCTCCTGTGGAACAGCTGGTGAGTTTGAACTGCCGACCTTCTGGTTTGCAGCCAAGCATTTAACCTCTGTGGTACCAGGGCCCCTCTGTCCACTCATGCTTGAGGTGCTTATTGAATACCTACTGTGTGCCTTGTGCCATGCTGGCCATAGGCTATAGCAGTGAGCACAGTGGGCCTGGGGCCTGCCCCCTGGGAACTTACTCCTGAGGATACAACAAAACCAGTGAGCTCAACCAGTGCGCACTGGGCCGTGTTGGGGACCTCAGCTGGGCCATCCAGGAGACGTGCCAGCCGAGCCAATTCCCAAAGGGAGCGAAGGAGTCGATAAGGTGCAGGGCGTCTGGCAGGAGGCGAATGCATTCCTCACAGAGAACAGCATTTACAAAGAAGTGGGTCAGAGAGTAGAATGTGCTGGAAGCACCAGCTGGCCCCAAGTGTGGGCAGGTACGCACGAGAGGAGTGAGCAAGAGGTGGGCACGGGTGCAGAGGGAAAAATATCTTGGAGTCAGGCCAAGCTGGGTTTGAATCTTAGGTGAATCATTTCTCTCCTCTGAGCCTCAGTTTCCCCCACCCTAAGAGGCGTTGCTACTAGGTAGTACAAACAGTTAACGTACTTGGTTGCTAACTGAAAGGTTAGAGGTTTGGATCCACCCAGGGGTGCCTCAGAAGAGAGGGCTGGCAGTCTGCTTCTTGTGAACCAGCCATTGAAAGCCAGCTCCAAAGCCCTATTCTACTCTGCCACACGTGGGCTTGCCGTGAGTCAGAACCAACTCTGGGGCCACTGGCTTTTTAAAAATGAAGACGGTAATTTTTTACAAGTCTGTAGTGAGGTTACAAAGAATGCAGACAAGTAGCTAGCACATTGCTTGGCAGAGAGCAGAGAGCAGTGGTCCGATAGACAGTTCTTCAGAGAGACTGGGTGGGCAAGTGCCCTCAGGCCGGACTTGCCACAGGAGATAGGCCCCCAGCCTTGCCCCCACACAGAGCAGCTGTGCGGAGCTGGGGACCATGGCCAGGAGCAGTCAGGCAGCCTGGAGACTGGACTTGGCTGGGTGGACTGGAATTCTCACCCCTCTCGTCTCTCCCGTCCCAGGGTTCACTACATCCAACCCCTGGATGTCACTGGGCTAGACCCAGAAGGCTGCTTTGCTTCACAAGGTCCTTTATTCCTTAGGGCACTGATTTTCAAAAATGCTTTTGATAGCAGAACCTCTTTCTCCGGTTGAAATCTGCCTCAGAACCCCGGACAAAGGCAGGGCAGTGTTGGTGGAGACAGGGTGTCGTGTCCCCCAAGTCCTGGCTGCTCAGTGTATCACCTCACCCCATGGGCAGGCCCTGAGGCCCTGCCCCAGAATGCCACTTGCTGGTTTGAATGCTTCTGTCTTGGGGTGGGTTGTTAGGACCTGATACCACAAGAGGCCCCTGATGAGACAGGAGGAGAGAATACCA